GGGCCCCGGGGGGGGGGGGGCCCCGCCGGGCCCGGCCACGTGGCTCCGCCTCCAAACACAGACGCCTCTTCCTGACCAATAGCTAGGAGTGGCCGGGGCTGTCAATTCCAGTGACGGACATGGTGTGTGGACAGCCCTCCCGGAGCCTGGGGGTGAGCGCACAGGGTGGGTACGCAGGGTGTGCCTGGACATGGAAGGGCAGGAGTGAGTGTGCAGGGGGGGAATGAGTGCTGTGGGGGCTGTACATGCAGGGGGTGCTGGAGGCATGTATGTGAGGGGGGGAGAGAAGTATTTGGGAATATGCCTAGTGTGCAAGCACACCTGGGAATGTATGAGAGCTGGGGAGTTGACCATGCGAGTGTGAGTTTCTAGCAGTGCGTGTGCACTTGGAGCGTGTGCGCACCAGCACCCTGTGGAAGATGGGCATGTGTACGTTTGGGGGCGGGGGGGGGTGAGTGTCTGTAGTTTGCACGTCAGTGAGAATGGTGTCTGAATGCATGGGCTGCGGGTGTGACTGCAGATGTGGGGGGTGGAGCGAATGCAAGTGCTTGTGAACTTGCAGCAGCAGGTGTGTGACCACGTGGCGGCACAGGGACAATCATGCAGTGCACACTTGTGCAAGCAGGAGTGGCTGGGGGGCTGCATACATGTGCGTGGAAGGTGTATGAGTGCACAGGGCTTGTTTTTGAGCAGCAAGAGGTAGTGGGAGGGCGAGGCTTGCATAGAGTGAGGGAGTGAGTGTGGAGAGGGGGTGAGTGTGAGCTGGGGGTGCTATTTTAAGGCAAGGCTTGGGCGGGGGGGTGGGGGAAGTTGGCCGACTGGAAATGCTGCACTCCTGCCTCTGGGAGGTGCGTGTGTGAGACGTGGGGCCTGTGCCCACCTGCAGGGGTGTGTGCGCCAGTGCACTAGGCTGAGGAAAGGTCGCTACTTTTGGGTGGGAGGGGAATTAGGAACACTTAGGCGCTGTCCTGCAAGAACATTTTATGCAAATCATTTAATGACCTAATTTGCATATAACCATAAACTTCTGCACTCCTGCCTCTGGGAGGTGCGTGTGTGAGACGTGGGGCCTGTGCCCACCTGCAGGGGTGTGTGCGCCAGTGCACTAGGCTGAGGAAAGGTCGCTACTTTTGGGTGGGAGGGGAATTAGGAACACTTAGGCGCTGTCCTGCAAGAACATTTTATGCAAATCATTTAATGACCTAATTTGCATATAACCATAAACTTCTGTTAAAAAAAAAAACAAACCCAACCCAAACCCAAGCCTGTGTGAGAATTTGGTGTTGATTAAAGCTGTGGGGATGGGCACCGATGAATATTTGGTGCCACTTTAGATGCCGCACCTCAGACTCTGAAATGCCCCGTGGCGCTGGGAGCCTCTACCTGCAGCACCTTCCAGCCAAAAGCCAGTTCCCTTATAAAATCTGCCCGTGATCCCAAATGGCTCCTGGACGGACAGAACAGCATCAGCTCTTGCTCCAAGCAGGACAGGCTGCCTGGCACTGAATCCTGGAGCCAGGGGACGCAAGTCAGCTCAAGGGGCAAGTCAAGCCTGACTCTTCTGTGCAGAGAAGTGTGGTTTGAGCCAGGACCTGCCTAGGAAAAGCCAGTTCCCTTATAAAATCTGCCCGTGATCCCAAATGGCTCCTGGACGGACAGAACAGCATCAGCTCTTGCTCCAAGCAGGACAGGCTGCCTGGCACTGAATCCTGGAGCCAGGGGACGCAAGTCAGCTCAAGGGGCAAGTCAAGCCTGACTCTTCTGTGCAGAGAAGTGTGGTTTGAGCCAGGACCTGCCTAGGGGCAGTTCTAGACTAGCTGCCAGCAACTGGTGCCCTGGGCAAATCACCTCCAAACCCCTCAAGGATATTGCGCCACCATTTGGCACCCCATTTAACTTGGCGCCCTAGGCGACCGCCTAGTTCTCCTATATGGATGGGCCGCCCTTGGCACCTGCCCGTTGTGTTGGGTCTGACTTGGTCCCTGTCTCGCTCATTGACCTGCTGGGACGGGGCAGCTCACGTCCCGCCTGGCCCTGGTGGGGGCAGTGTGGTTAGGATGACTGCTGGAGCAGGGAGTGGAGGGGGTGTGGCAGGTGGCACAGTGGTGTTCGCCACTGCCCAGTGGCTTCCTTGCCTTTCCTCTAGTGCCGGGTGTATGGGTGCTGGCTGTGGGACCCCACTGCAGGGGCCAGCTGGGGCTGTGCCAAGAGACAGAATAGCCCCCATGATCCATCTGGCCAGACTTTCCGCCCTCTCTAATGCCTCTTAGCCATATTGGCCCCTAAGGGGCGGCTTGCCCCTCCAGCACCTGGCTCTGCTGTGTTCACCCTCCGGCTGCACTTTGGTTTTTCTGTGCCACCTCCACCATGCGGTCGCTCTGCTTACCAGGGGTCAGCCCAGGTGTGCCGGGTTCTGCCCGGAATCACGGTGCCAAGCATGCTCAGTTCTGGGCTGGATTTTCCCATGGGGAGAGGGGACATGGGGGCAGCTCCTCTTGGTGGAGTTACTGCAGAACCGGACCTTCCCCTCCACCCTGTAGCATTCTCCAGGCCAGCTTATGGCAGCCTGCAGACCAGGGACGAGCCAGGCAGCTGTTTCCTCACAGAGCCATCCAGCCGAGGGAGCAGATCCTGGAGACGTGTCCTGCAAGGATTCCTGCCCTGGGCTCTTCCGTTCATTTCTGACTTGAGAAGCAGAAAGGCTCCTTTTAGGCTGGCCCAGCTGCGCGGTGCCCGCCTCCTCGCCGCGCGGTTTGCACCCTTGGTGTAAATGAGCCTGGGGCCAGGGAGCCAATGCAGGATCTGGCTGGGGGCTTTGTAGTAAAGCCTTGTTCCCTCCACACTGCAAACGTGAGGCTTGTCCCCACCTCTGGCTCCTGCTGTGGACTACTTCCAGGCTCCCGAGGGGACTGAGGAAGGTGCTTCCCAGGTAAGAGGAAGGCAGCAGGCTCGGAGGCGCGGGTATAACTCAGTGTGCTGCACAGCTAATTCATGCACTTGTCCTGGGCTTGAGTGGCACTGGACTGTGGTTTAAAATAAGATCTCTCCCCTCCCCCCAGGTACAGAGCTCTCACCTGATGCAGCACATCTCTAGCAGCGCAGGGGGCTGGAATTACTGACTTCTCATGCTCCCTTCCAGCCCTGCTCTGCTTTGATTATCCAAGCCCCCGGAAATGAGTCCCAGCTTTCCGCGGTGGAACCCTTTGTGCTCCCCTGCTCAGGCAGAGTGGCTGGCCAGGCTGGGATTCTGCTAGAAGAGCTGCTCCTGGCATTGCCCCTCCCAATGCGTGTAGACTGTTTCACTGTCTCAGAAGTGTTAAACCAAAACCGAGAGGAGGTGGTAGGGTCCAGGAGACAGGGCCCTGGTTGGGTGGGAGGTGTGAACGTTCGCCACTATCCCTTGATTCTGGTCTTGGCTGCCTCAGTTTACCCATCAGGAAAATGGGGGACCTGTAAAGGCCTTTGGGAGTCACGGATGAAGGGAGCTGTAGAGGTTTGGGGTACATAATGAGCCCCTTGCTAATCTTTGTTCCTCTCTCCATTTCCCCCCTCACTGGGCACTTGCTTGCCTGGCCAGAGGGGCCCCCCCCAGTGCTACATGCAGTTGCTCTGGGCCTGTACGACAGGCATGTTCGTTAGCATCTCCTTGCAGAGGTAACTCGTCCTTCCCTGCCTTGAAATGCTCATCTCCCTGGCTTCCTCACAGCCCTGTTGCATGGGAAACCACTTGCTCATTTGCTGCCTGCCCGCCCAAGGTCCCTCTCGGCTGGCTTTAATCCTTCCCCAGCCTCCCCTCCTCTTCCTGGGCCTGTTATCCTGCTGACGCAGGAGCCTGCCTGCTCTATTCTGGGGCTGCACAAATGGAGCAAATCTGCTTAAGGAGGGGACTTTCCCCTCTTCGGCAGCTGGCAGCTTTCCATATGCTACTGCTGATCTAGGGTCCCTTGGCTCTTGTCTCCACCCCCTCACCTTTGGCCTTGCAGAGCCGCACAGGTGAGCTCTCCCCTAAAGCTGGTAGATGGGTCTTGTAACACATCCGTGGCTGATGGGACTGTGGATTGTGTGCGCAGCCAAGCAAACCATCGTATGGCCCCCTAATCCTCCTGACAGCACAAGCCAAGCAAACCATCGTATGGCCCCCTGATCCTCCTGACAGCACGGGGCTCACGGAAAATCTCCCTATGGTGCCAACAGAATAGGGCATATGAAACACAGGTGATGCTGCCCAGACCCCCAGCCAGTGCCTACCACACACACACACACACAAGAATAGTGGACGGGAAAGTGTCTGCTTGCCCTAGGTTTGGCTGACTGCCACCAGCCTGCAGGTGAAAGCTCTTTAGGGCCCTGGAAGAACAAATGGCGCAGCCTTTAAATCCTGGTGGATTTCTAATGCTAATTAATGAAAGCGTTCTGTTCTTGTCTCCCAGGGCCAGCTCTTCCAAGGACTGTAATTAAATTTCTCTAGCCCTGGCTAGAGGGGGAGAAGGAGGCGTGTTTGGCAAACCCCATAGCGGACGTGGTAAATTCACACCTTTTAAAACACTACGTAGCACCAAGTGTAGACAAAAAGTGGGATTTAAAACGTTTGCTGGGCTGGTACCCACTAACATTCTCTTAAATCCTGCTCCGTTTACACTAGAAGCTGTAAAGTGTGACTTACCCTGCTAAGTGAGGGGGATGTAAATCATCTTACCTTCACCTGGTTGCACATGTGCCTGCATCTGAATTTGTCTCCTATGATGTAAGCGCCCCGTTGCGGCGGCACCGTAACACCACTGCGAAGTACTGAGGTCAATGCAATGGGAGCGTAGAACCGGCGTGTCCCGTGTTGATGGCAGGAGTCCTTCAGCAGCTGTCCCTCAATGACTGGCGCTGACAGTTCTGGTCACAATTGTGAAGGCTCCTGCTCTAGAGTCATGGAGAGGGCCCCCTGGCCGATGGCTCCCCTGGGCAGGAGGGGAGAAGAGGCTCTGCAAGACAGTGCTGGACCGGCTGCAGGAACCTGGACCTCTATGAGCAGGTGGCATGGGCGATGCGGGAAGATGCGTCCTACAGGGACCCGCCGCAGTGCCCCGTGAAAGCGGAGGAGCTGTGGTAGGCAGGGGGGGGATCTGCTGCTTTTACAAAGAGCTGTGCCCCCTACGTGGCAGGGACCACCACCCTGCGCACACACATTCCATACCCCCGAGCAGGCCCTGCTGTGAACCCTGAAAATGAAGTAGAGGAGGGTGGGGGGCAGGTGACTGGGAAGTCCAGCAGTGCCTCTTTGAGATGCCACCGGTCTCTCCCAGCAGCTGCGCACAGGTGGGCCTGGTGCAGAGGAAGGAATCTCAGGTAAGTGTGGAACTGTATTTCCCACGACTGTGACTTACTGATGGCTCCTCCGACTTACCAGGGCCCAGCTGCCGACTGTTCGTTAATTTCCTCGTACTGGGGAGGCGGTGATACCCCGAGGAGAGGGAGCGTTGTTGTCTGCTCTTCGGCCTCCTGCAGAGTTGGGGGGACCTGTTGGTTTGTGTGCACAGGGATATCCCTTGGATCTTCCTGGAGAGACTGCCATGCAATGTCCACCGAGGTCAGGCCTGCTGATGGGCGATATGGCGGAGGGGGGGCAAAGAGGCCTGGCAATTCAAAAGGGCCTGGGACTCTCAGCCACTACTGTGGCAGCAGCCGGAGCTCCGGGCCCTTTAAATCGCTCCGGGTAGCTCTGAGGGCTCCGGCGGAGGACGGTCACAGCATGGCCTGGACAGTGCTGAGGGCTGCAGGGAGGGGGCTGCCCCAGCCTCGCCTCTTCAGGGAGCACAGAGCTACCCCCTCCCAACCTTGCCGTGGAGCCCGGGAGGTTTGTCAAACCTCCTCCTGCCCCCGCTCCCAATGGAGGTACACCTCAGTCTTCTGCAGGTTTCTGAGAGGGCTGCCTAATTTCTTCCGCAGTAGGACACTTTCCTACCACACCCCTCGGCGATTACTTCAGCAGGCACCTCTGCAGTGCACAAACTAGCGGCATGTGGGCGTGGGCGGCTTAGGGATGCCAGCAGGACCAGTGCTTGTGGCTGCAGCACGCTTCTAACCACACGCCTCTGGCGGAGCGAGCTGCAGGCCAGCAAAGCCTGCGCCCTAAGCCATGTGCCAGCCTTTAAGGGGCCCAGGACTCCTTATTGTGTTTACTGACAATGGCCCCTCTGGGTTTTATCTCTAGCTGCCACCACTGAGGCCTTGCCGTCCCCGCTCTGCACCCCGAACGCATGGGGAGGAGGAGA